CATATCCAAGTATGAACATGTATGAGCAACGAACAAATAACCGTTCTGGACACTCCCACCAGGAAGGACTGTCCACGTAGCCCCAGATTCAATATCAGTATCATCGAAGGAGCCATTCTCAATCAAGTTTCCGGATCCGCAGCTCGTCAAAGTAGAAGTAGACGCCACGGCGGCAGGGGTCGTCTGCGGCGAAGTGATAGTAAGAGCAGCAGCTGGCAGGACATGGGCAAGCCACATCAAACGAGCAGGGACCATCATGATTGCGATGGTATGTTTGTAAAAAGTAATCTCAAAACGAATGGACGGGTGCAAAACACCACTACAAGACGGACGACGAGTAAAAACGAAGCGACACGGGGTCGTTGTCCGAATTTGCAATAAGGAATGCCGGAAAAACGGTCCTTGCGGGTCTTTTGACGGGGACTTTATATATAGATGCTAAAAATGCTAGGCAAGTTCTGGGGTGATGCTATGACACTTGTGGTTTTGCCATCGGGCTTAGTGGCGTTGACTCCACTCGGAACGTTAGTCCTGGTCTGTCTGGCAAGTTGTAGCGAGAGTCTTGGCTAATACTGGGTTGGGGTATTGGTTCCTGCATGGCTTTGGCTGGTTCTGGCCGGGGGAATTGGGCTTGTTTCTGTTGTGTGCATCGGGTGGCTGTTGAATGGGGGAAATTGGGGACTCGTGTTGGCCGAGTTAGGGCTTGGGTTTGGGGTGTCAGCGGGCGGCTATATTTCTCTTGTCTCAGTGGCTCGGTTGCTCAGTTGCTCAGGGGCAGTGATTTGGTGGTTTGTCACTATTGCCCATTATAATCCGATTTGAATAAGTTATCTAGAATTAACAAATTGATTGATTTACATCAATTCAAGTTTTCTGGCATTGCGGCGATCAGGAACCGATCGATCCGAGCTCGGCCAAGCTAACCACATCTTGGCCCCATCAGCACTAGGAGAAAATGTCCACTCGCGGACTTGCCCTTCGGCTAACGTTAAGGGTTTTCAATAGTCGGTCTATTTTTGAACGTGCGCTATGGGCATGTCTCGGTCCTAGCCGATGAGAGAATATGATATGTATGCATTGAACCTCAAAACCAAACACCCATAGGAAATCCCCTATCTATGCTATCCAGCCCAAAGAAAAGGCAGACACACTCGATGTAGTAAATCCGAAAACGCCAAATAACTGAGACAAATGATGCCGAACAGGAAAAATAAAGAAAAAAGAGGATCGATTTGATCCAGTCATGTCATCATGCAATGCATCGTGCCTGCTCCACTCTAGAAAGGTGAACAGGGGAAAAGAAAGAAAACATTTATAAAGGAACGTCATTTAGACCGTGCCATACCGGCCACGCTCCGCGCCAAGCAAAGCCTGACCCTCATGCGATCGCGAAAGATCTCTCGACTCCCGCTCTGGTGAAGTGGACGGAATCCAGCCACGCATCCAACCACGAACGCGTTTCCAGCTGCTCCGGCCACGCTTCTGGTCGCCTCCCTCAGTACTAATGAAGCTCTCGTCGTCCTCGGCATCCGGGCCATCGCCGTACATGAGGAATTGAACACCCATGAACCCATCCAGCCCAAGGACACCGAACGCACCAAGGAAGAATGGGAGCGAACGTCCGATCCATTCCCAGCGGTCATTGCCGTGATTATCGGCCCAACCGCCGCCGCCGTACGGCGCGAAATCCGACCAGGCGTTCGGGTTGGTGAGAAGGGAGGTGGAGTAGAACAAGTTTCCGCAGAACGCGGCCATGAAGAGCAAAGGGGAGAGGCCTTCTGTACTCTTGCGCTGGTAGTTCTTGTACAGCTGAGGAGGGCGCGAACCGAGATAGAGGAGTGTTGACATCCAGGAGATGATACGGCCGACAATCTCGAGAATTGTCTCGCTGGATGCGTGGGAGATAGGCGGGTGGGGCGCTTCAGTGGGAGCGGCGTTGGCAACCATAGCGCAAAGAAGCGAGGCGATCAGCATTGTCCGCGGCAGTACGAAAGGTGCACTCTGAGCACTGCTGCCCACTCGTACGGAGCGGCGTGAGGAGCCCAGTTTCTCGTTTGAGTAGGAGGCTGTCTGGTCGGTCGAGCTGAGGGTTGAACCGGTCTGGATACCCATATCCTTTGCTTCGGAAGCCTTGGTGTTCATGTCGACTGCTGCTGGTGTGCGGTGGCTTCCTTCGTGGCCAGGAGGAGATACACCTTGAATGATTTCTCGGCCATCTGAGTCGAAGGGGTGCAATAGCTCGTCATAGGCTCCATTTCGACGAGCTTTCAAGTGGGTGTACCAAAAGAACTGGAATACCATGGTGATGTCAACCAGGACATAGTAGCCTGCTACCACGACCTGCCATCCCGCCTGCCGGGTGAAGAGTGCTCCAACCAGGTTGCTTGCATCCCCTAAACACCAGATCACCAGGAAGAATATGGATAGCCCCGAAGTTGACTGCAGCTGAAAGTTCTTGAATATTTGGGGCAGTTGGGCGAAGAGCCAGGAGACAATGCTGAGGGTTCCGAGAACGGAGGAGATCGCCGCTAGAGGGGTGGGGATGCAGATGTGGAGATGCGAGGAGACGGCGGTCAGGAAGGGCGAAGTCGGTTCACAGTGGTCGGGCAGTGACGCAGAAAGGAGGCTGTGTAATAATGGAGGAAACATGGTCTATGTATGTGTATATCTAATGTCGAGCTGTATCGTGCCGATGTGATGTGCACAGTGTGTGCACAGGGCGGATACGGGGTGAAAGCGATAGGCGATAAGCAATCCGGGGTAGTAGGGAGAGTAGGTGAAAGAGGAAGAGCAGGAAGTACAGTCTAAATCTAAGAGTAAACAAAGCCAAGAAGTAATAAAGGAAGAGAGAGGAGGAACCGGTCACACTGAAGTGTCACGAGAGCTCCCTTATCTCGGGGCTGATCGGATGACTCATGATAAGGGTCCGGGGTCCTATCAGGCGTGGGGAAGTATGTGAATCATGTAAATCGCCCCATTTAGTAACATTACTTGAATACCTAATAGATGAATGTAACATTAAAAGCTTTATATCTGTACGTCATCATTTCTGGCAGATATGAAGGGTTGAATTAGAATAGTATAAATGGATCAGATAAGGAATTTGCTGCCTCCATTAGGGATGTCAACCTTGAAGCATTTGTTTAGTCTCCAAAAAGTCGGCAACCCAAGAGTTCTAAGTATATGTATGACTACTAGTGATGGCTTAACAGGTGATGTAACAACATGGAACTTGGAAGCCAAAAGGTGGTCATAGGGTAACTTGCCCTTTGGCAACTTTTCTATGGCTGTACTCAATCAAACAGTCAATATGTAATTTTGGCTTATAGTGCCCTACTGTTGCTTTTGATATCATAGACAGTGCTGGGGTGACTTCATTCAATATACGAATATCGCATAGAAACTCGATTGGCTAAAGATTTATATCGTGGTCATAACGTTGTAAAACTCCACATATCAAGATACAAAGAACTAACAAATACAAAGACAAAAAGGAGAGTAACAAGAAACAGCAGAAAAATGAGCTCATTGTAGACCGATATCAAGCCCGTCAAGTATCATAAAGCACAACTCATATCCAGACTCGAGGTCTGAATTGCATAACCAAAGAGAAAGAAAAACCATCGAGACGCGAACCATTTCACCACTCAATACTCATCCTCACCCCGATGTCTCGAGTGACTACCATGATGAGAACGAGAATGAGAATGATGCGAATGTCCACTATGCCCACTATGATCACTATTCCTCGAATGACTCCGATGATGATGTTGGTGATGATGATGACCATGTTTTCCATGCCGGTGCTCAGACTCATCATCCCGATCATGTTTCTTATGATCCTTCACCTTATTCTCAAGGAAATTCCCCAGAATCGCACCGCCAATGGCACCAAGCAAGCCATGATCCTTCTTATGGCCGAAGTAATACCCAGCCGCACCACCAGCCAGAGAACTCCCCAGACCACGATCAGTCTCTCTGTCCGAGCCCTCATGTTCATTGTCAGAGCGCTGTCCTCTCATCTCGTCGCGGCGTGTATCATGGTCTGATACGTAGACTGCGGGCGGGTGAGGGCTTGCAGAGGGTGTGTAGCGTGGCTGCTCGGCTGGGTGGTCGTTGCTTGTTTAAGTCAGCATCGAGACATGTATGGATCTATTTGGTCTTGTGTTGGTACTTACTAGTATCCAAAGTTCTCGCCGCTGCGAGCATACGGGTTCGCTGGCGCACCGGGAGCAAGGTAGTTGGGCTGACCAGTAGAAGCGTGACTTCTGGGCGCATAAGGTTCCGCAGCGAGGTTGTACGGGCTGGACTGTGGGGGATAGACATGGCCCTGGTCTTGGGTTGGCTGTGGTTCTGCGGTTCCGTATGGCTGTTGGTATGGATTTGCATTGTGTTGAGACTGATCCTCTGGAGGATAGTAGCTTACGCCGCCCGGGGCGGGCGTGGAGTACGAACTGTATGGGTTGTATGGATCTGCCATGGTTAAAAGGTGAGGTTGGAGTTGTTGGAGAAGGAAATGGTTTATATGTCAGACTGTCTGATGACTAGAGGGGTTATACATCATGGCGCGGCTGACCTGCCCGCACGACCCTCTGGAATGCGCTTGCCCTCCAATGACTTGTCTTTGTCGTAATGTTTATTTATTCTACAAAGGATTGAGATTTGATACGTCATCTTAACAACTGCAGATGACAGAATGAAATGAAGCAGAGAACTAAACACGGATGAGTCGGGGGTATTCCGGTGAAATGAAAATGATGGAAAACATGTAAACAGGGCTGGCCGTGAGGACATTCAGAATCACATCGCTCAACCAAGACGATGGAAAATGCAGAAATTTGCGCCAAGTGGGTGGCAAGGTAAACGAAAAGAAAAGGTGAAAAGAGAGAAGGGCCGGCCAAAAGTGATGCGCCCAGCACATTCAAAAGCCTCCTGGCGGTGCCGCCAAATCAGCGACCCTGGAAATCTATCAACAGAAGTGATGAAACATATACACCCAACTAGGTTGGGTTCTGCATGTTTCGCGCTGAGGCAGAGCTACTGGTGCGTTGTGACATCCAGTTCACAAGCATCTCATCAAGCTGGTTGTTCATTTCCTTAAGTCGCTTGCTTTCCTCCTTGAAGAGTCGACCAGTAATGGGGTGGTCGGGACCAGCAGGAGGAACATTTGATTTGTCATGGACAATGATAAACAAGTCGCGAATGTCGTTTTCTTCGTCCATGTATGATCGTAGACTGGAGTCGCTCCAGGTAGGTGTATCCACGGAAAGAGTGTCCATAGATCCAGGAGTAGCGGTGCTACCCTTGTGGTAATTGGTATCAACTCCGGGCGAGGACGGGGGTGATGGCGGTGAAAGAGACCGCACTCCTTGCGGTGAGGCGTCTAGGGTCAAGCCTGGGGCGCCAACAGGGATGTATCCCTCCACAGGAGAAATATTGACGGGCGACTCGGTCCCATGATCTCTAGATGCAAACTTAGGAGTGAACTTCTGAGGTGGCGATGTGAGAGAGGATGATTCGGTTGCGCGAGAAGATTCACTAGGACCTCTCCATTGCACTTCACTAGATGTGCGTTCAACAGGCGAAGCCAAGGCGTTCTTGGATTCAACAGGAGTGGCAAAGGGATCCCTAGAAAGACTGTGTTGGCTGACAGGAGATGACAGTACAATGTCGCACTCGAAGGCTTCCTCTTCCTGCGAGGTCACCTTTCGGATGGTCTTGTCGCCACTCTGTTTGGTCTCATGCTTGGAATATTCGGCCATTGCAGGGTCCAGCTCCGTGTCAACCTTCATGATCCCTGGATGCTGCTTCTGTAGCTTTTTGTTCGTGTCCTTCTGGGATTGAGGTTGATGTTTGATGGGTCGTTGTTCAGGTGACAAGGACTTTGATGAAATGGACTCCATCGAGGTCTTTGGTTGGGGCGATGTGCACGCGTCTGCCGGAGATTTCTCTCCCTCGTCGACTTCATCTTTGCTCTTTTTCCGCTTGAATAGTCCGCTGAGCATTCCAGGTTTCTTATCCTTTCGCTTCTTGTCCTCCTTGATTTTGTCCTGTGAGTTGGATCCCTTTTCAATGGACTCGAAACTTCCACGAGGCTTTACCAGAGTTAGCATGCTGGTTTTTTGGCCATTTCGTGAAAAACTTACCTCTTTCCACTCGGCCAAGCCACCACCGCCGCCGCCGGATTCATCACGCAGCAAGTTGGGGGTGAGAGAAATCTTCTTGGGCTCGGCTGTGTCGTCTTTGAAGAACGAGTCGGTGTTTCGTACAGTGCCATTTCTGGATCTACTGACAGTGGGTTCTGTTTTGCAAAGTGAGTTTCAAATACCGCCCGAGAACAATAGAGAGCGTTCTTACCTTCCGATTCAAAGAATTCTTCACTTGATGGGCGTCGGTCAGAGATTGAACGCTGTGATTCAGATCTGTCTTGCGAACCCTGGATATCGGTATGTTCTGCTGTCTTCTCTTTCTGTCCCTTGGGGCGGAGTGGTTCGACGACAATATCTTCGCTCTGATCTTGCGCATCTTCCTCTTCTCCGTCGAGGGTCTCATCGTCGTTGAAAAAGTCGCCATGTTCGGAGTCTTCGTCGCTGGAATATTCGACGTCCGATGCTTCAATGTATGTAGGAGGTGCGAAATTGACGTTCTTTGCGTTCCGGCGGCGCATGGCCTTCTTCAAAGGATTCTTCGACTTCTCGTTGTTATCGCCCAACATGGTCGCAGAAAGCTATTAGAATTAGAAGCGGCTTCGAAAACACTCTAATGGCAGCACATACATCCACGTTTCTGTGTTTATTCAATCTGGCCAGTCTTTCGGTTGGCGTTTCGATGTGCTCCGCGGGGAGGTATCCTGTTCGAGTCAATAAAAGCCACATGAAACCGATGAATACGACATACCGATGCTCCCATCCTTCACCACGCGAACCAGCCACCAATAGCTGTTGCTATCATCAAGAAGAACCATAGTATCGCCCTTGGCAGCATTTGCTTGCCCATCGACAGTAGCGACGAAGTTGTGAAGCGCATAAACGAATTCGAAATCGATATCCTCTGTACATCGTCAGCAATGGTCTTCTCAAGAGTCACCGAGATTCCGCACCATCATCAATACTGGGAGAGCTGGATATTTTGTCCATCAAATCGTCGTCCATCAGATCATCACTTTCGCCGTCTGCCAGATCACCGTCTTCGTGGTCGTAGTGGTCTCCGTCCTCATCTTCATCGTCATCGGGCTCGCGATATATGTCCTTTCCATTGCGGTATTCATTGTTCTTGTCGGGTCCACCCTTTATTTCCGACTTCGAATCTTGATCCGCTTGACGGATGGCGAGCTCTTGATGGGGTGCAGGCCGGCCGCTCCCAAGAGGCTCTGGGTGTTCGGGTTGTTTAGAGTGATCTTGTGCAGAGGGCGCATCGTGATCTTGGAGATCCAAGGTATCTAAGAGACATAGCGGTCAGTACTCAACTACGGAACCTGGCTTCGCGACAGACGCATAAAACATACCAGCTCGGATTATCTGGGGTCTTGTCATGTTGCCGCTTAAAACGAGTGTGTTATCGAGGACAATTGAAGTGAAACAAGTGGTGGGTGCAAGGAGTGACTAGCGGTCGAGAAGTATGGAAGTTGAAAGAGAAGCGCCGGACAAACAATGTGCGCGAGTCTCCGGAATTCCTGAATCTCGGAGCGGCACGAGTAACAGGCGGTCAACTATCGGTCAGGGTCACCAAACAGACGTTGAATTGACCTGAAGGAGAGACAGCACCCTTAGAGAATAGTGGGGGCTGGTCTGCGCTGCACGTCCTCAGCACAGGCGGGCGACACGAGGTGGACGCAAAGAAAAAGAATTACTGCCAGAGTGACATCAAGAATGAGACAACAACAAATGAACAAAGAGGTGTCGACGTCAAGTCTGAATAGGGTCTCCTTTCACGTCCCCAGTAACCAAAAGGAGGTGCTTCCAAAACAAGCGCCCCTTGCGCGCGGCTAACCATGGCTCTGTGACCCCTGAAACTGTCCCATTTGGGAATTTAGGGCTTAGGGCCAGAGTATCAGATGAGGTCAGCTGATCTCGGGACTTCCCGGGTGGAACCGTTAAGCTCATTCGCTGCGTCATCATACAACCCGATTTTTCCCAGTCCCCTCCCCAGGTACTTTACCAATACCTCACTTTTGATTCCCTCTGCTATACCTTTATTTGTACCCACTTTGAATCACTTCGACCTTTTTCTTCACATTTGGTCTTACAAACTCTTCATTTCTACCTCTACTGATAGTATCAACCGTTTTGTCCCCACTTCCGACGCTATCACCCCCGCAATATTCGTTTCAAGAAACACACAGCACCGCAGAGGGTTGTATAACCCTCCTGCAGGCCTGTTCAGTGCTCACAACAACCGACATAGCCTTCTCCGTGCCCTGTTAGGGCATGGCGCACACTGAGAGGAACGGACTTGCGCATGGATTGGCAGGCTTGAGGATTGAAACTTCATTTCATCGAAACAACCCCCGATGGGGGAATGAAGATGGGAGGAGAGCGACAGAAGAGGGCGATGGTATCGAGAGCGACCACATCAATGAATCTCATGATTACAACGCGCGTCGCCGCGATACTGATGAAGACCACAGTGTGTTAAGTGATCTCCACTCAGCGACCCCTCCCATTTCTGTCCCTCGCCCAGACGAGCAACCAACGGACAACGATGAAGACTTCCCCCACAAGCCCGACGATATCGAAGGCTCTCCACTCGATAGCTATTTGCAATCCCGTCGACCTTCTATCAGTTTCAACCCGAAGGTCTCTGTGGACTCGGGTAATCAGATCCCTCTGGAGGAGCCACTTTCGACTGGCGATGTGAAGGACCGACCACCGCAACGATTCGAGTCTCGCAGCTCAGGACTCAGAAACGCTCTTTCCCAGGATGACGAGTCCATCGATTCGCAGCACGACTCTTTGAGGAGTTCCAAACGATCGCAGGATCGGGGCTTCCCGACCGGACAATCCCGACCGCAGCCCTTTGTGAAAGCCGAAGATGCTTCAGCCGCGGGAACAGAGCTGGATCATCCGACGTCACTTACGTCGCAATCAACAGTCTCTCCGACTACGAGCGAGCTGCGAACACCGCCCGATGATTCCAACTCGACGATGCTGTCGCCGTTTTGCGTGGCCTCGCCAAATCAATCTTTCCCATCGCCAGAGGATCGCAGCTCCTGGTCCGGGAGCATCATGACCCCTTTCGGAAGTAAGCCTCGCAATTCTGCTCTCGACCGCAGTAGCAGTCTTCGCAATCCTACGCGGCACAGTTCACGACGATCCACTGCCTCCAGTGGGAAATCGCCTGCCAGCATGTTTCTTTCCATGTGGAGCACCCATGAAGAGCCTGCTCCACAGCCCGATGACGAGGGGCAAATGGTTGGAACAGACTATGTCCTTGGAAAGCAAATCGGGTTTGGAGGTTTCAGCACCGTGAAAGAGGCCTATAAGGTTGAAGAGCACGGTGAAACCAAACGACTTGCAGTCAAGATTGTAAAAAAACACATTACAGACCGAAGCGAAAAGGAAAATGATGAAGTACAGGCAGAGTTCGACCACGAAGTGCGAGTCTGGCGGTATCTAAACCACCGGCATATTCTTACGCTCGATGCTGTGTACGAAACAGAATACGCCACGTTTTGCTTCACCAAGTTTGCTATTGGTGGTACACTTTTCGACCTTGTGCGTCAAAACCGATCAGGTCTTGACACACCTCTTGCAAAGAAATACACCTACCAGTTAGCCAGTGCTATTCGCTACCTCCACGAAGATGCCCACGTCGTTCATCGAGACATCAAGCTTGAGAACTGCTTGCTCGATCCCATCGAGGCTGCAGACGGCACAACTTCTTCGACCTTGATACTTTGCGATTTCGGGATGGCAGAATGGATGTCCATCGACGATGGCGGCAACTCCCCGGATCCCTACGACGATGCCGCTGACCGTCCCCCGCCCAAACAAATCGGTCCCGCGGGCTCCAGTACCAGTGTCGCAGGCAGCTTGGAATATGCATCTCCCGAACTACTCCTATCAGAAGACGGGGTGATCCACCCTTCAGTCGACATCTGGGCATTTGGTGTCATCGTCTTCACTGTCGTGGTTGGTTCACGTCCCTTCCAAGATGCATTCGCACCTCGCATCCAAGCAAATATTCTCAGCGGCACCTGGAACCAAGATGCAGTTTATGGTGGAGTTACAGACCCGGCTCGTCGCAAGGGTCGCCAGGATGCTCTCGACCTGATCCGAGGCTGTCTCGAAATGGACATGAACAAGCGCTGGACCATCAGTGACATCATGTCATGCGCTTGGCTACGTGAAGTCGCCGAGACTGAACCCTCCGACACCGTGTGGAAACTATGAACGTCTCCAGTTTCTATCACTCTATACCCAATGTCCCTCTATTCCATCCCTCCACGTCCCATACGCTTCAACAGACTGGGAGTGTCACTTCATCTACATCAATCCCGGTATATATAATGTGATGGCTCCCCATGGTTTACAGGCGCTGTTATTGAGAGTCCTTCGACCACTTATGATACCCATTCGTTTCTTCTTCTTCAAACTGTCAGCATTTGCCGTTATTAACGATCTATTCTCGATATCCATTTTCACAGCGCGTTCTTCATTTTGGGTTCCTTTCTTTTTTTTTGCTTTTTCTATCTCGGGTTAGGTATTGGGTCAGGCATCACGAGACGGACGATTATGATTTTTACATGCGGGATGACACTCATGGCGTTCCTTTTTTTTTCCTGTTCAATTTTTTTTTTATGTGCTGTACTTGTACACGTGCGGGTTCTGTTCTTGCGTTGTACCGCTGGATTTATGTGTTCATTCGATCTGTGAGATATCTGCTTGGGTGGCTGGTCCGTCCTGCTCATAGGAAAGAATGATATGGCTATGCTCGTGCAATCTATACTCTACATGAATAACGAGTCTCTCTAGGCTAGTAGCCCTACTAGGTAAAGAAATAAATGTAAAGACTAAATTTCTAAATTGCATAGCCAAACATATCCAACAGCTATTGATACATATACAAAAATGGGTGTACTCAAAACAGATGCAACATGCACAGTAGACACAGTAGGGAGACAAAAGGCCAAAAGAACCCTATCAAACCATCTACCAGAGTCTGTTCTCCGGCAAGACCTTCTTCTTCGTAACACCAGCAGCAGACTTCCTCTCCTCAGAAGAACGGAAGAATAAACTAGGACCCTCAGAGCCCTTAAGCAAATGACTCAAATAACCGCGATGCGCAGGGTCACGATAGTACTCAATATCCCGACGTTTAGTCGGGTCAGGAAGTCGATACTTGCCAGTAGCAACCTCCAAAACATCAACATCAACAGCCTGAGCTGGAACCCCCTCTCCAGAGGCCTGAGCAGTCTCGGAAGGCTGCGCAGCGCGATAAGCCGCCGCAGCAGCCTCCAACAACCCCTGTGACCCAGACTTCAAATCCCACTGCTCAGAAATAAACGAATGCGTCTCACCAGCCAGAATGCGTCGGATAGAAGAAGCAGTGTAGTAGCGCGTGGTGACAGAACCGCCAAGAGCCTCGATGGCATTGATAGCGGAGGCGGAAGCGCGCGAGGCGACAATGTGAATGGGTTGTTTTAGGGAGTCGCCGCCATCGCCTAGGATTTTGACACCGTCGATTGGGCGGTTAATGCAGCCAGAGCTGTGGAGTTCTTTTACGGTGATTGGGAGGGATGGGTTTAGGCGGCCTTGGTCGATCCAGGATTGGATGCGGTCTAGGTTGACTGTTGCCATGTCGACGGAGAAGCTGGAGGAATCCGACTATATTAGAGGCTGTTGCTATGGGTGGTTAGGGGTTTGGGAAGAGTTGTGCAGGACTTACATGTTGACACCACCACGTTCACCGTGGACGATGATATCCTTCGTCTGACCACCATTGAAGCGAGCGGGGACTTTGCCGTGCTGGCCCTGGCCCTTGTGACCGCGACCGGAGGTCTTACCCTTGCCTGAGGATGGGCCGCGACCTCTCCGGATGCGCTTGTTGTAAGCGGAGGGATTGTCGGAGAGAGAGGCTAGGATTGAGGCATTGCGGGATTGCGGGAGGAGGAAGGCTAGCGGAGAGGATTGTTGGAGGATGGGCCTGGCGGCAAATTGCTGTAGCTGCGATGGCAGCGCCATCAGTCGGGGCATGGTGTGACGATGGTTCTTGGTTGGGTTGGTTTAGGGACGGAGTCTCGAGATTCTCTGTTCCGGTGGGTCATCTTTGTTCCGGTCCCGGGCCCTAACTCTACAGTTTTGATTTGACTTGGCTGTTTGTTCACTTAGGGAAACTCAGGAATTATTGGTCTTTATTGTTGGGTAAAGAGTTTATGCAATTTCATATGCATTAATCTATTAGTGTGTTCAGGTCATTGAGTGGTGACATTTTACCAACGATGACCATGCTTCTACTCCATGATCTATACTTCATTGCGAGAAAGGGGAAAAAAAGCACTGGGTGGTAAAATCTAGTGTCATATGCTCTTAGC